CTCGTAGTATTTCAATAGCTAGTGTTGGTAGCAAGTCGGTAGTCAGTATGTTGTATCTACTATTATGCAAGCCGCAGCAGGGCTGCTTCTAAATTTAGATCTTGGGCTGTTTCGCCTAAATTTAGGTTCCCAGATAAGTATCACCCTGCACCTGCGGATGCACTGGTTTCATTTCCCTTGAAGCTTCTTCCCACAACAACGATGTCTACAACTCCTCCCCCTCCAGCCTATTCTACCGCCACTGGAATTCAGCTCGCTCGCGATGCAGAGCTTCTTATTCAAGACTTCTTGCCTGCACCTACTGAATATACTGGTCCTTCCAGCGGCATTCCGCTGCCTCTTTGTATCCCTCAAATCGCCACTAAATTCGACTCTCCCTTCTCTCGCGGCTACAACGATGTGCTATCGGAGGCTGTGGACATCCCCCAGGCTGAGCTTTTGGCTTTCATCGACGGTCTGAACCTCGCTATGACGGCGAGTCCACCCCTTCGTGTCGTGGACACGGCGGGTATGATCATTGGTCTCATGTTGGTCCTTTGAATCAAATTGTTTGACAATTATCACTGACACTCTAATTCTCAGACCATATCACTGGACAATAATAGCTGGTATCGCAATGCAGACCGCGGCCCAGACGGGGATGCGTGTCCTATCGAAAACCCTTACGGACCGTTACCTGCGTGCGGCCAATCAGCGCATGTTCAAACCGCGAGGCCTCTCCGTCCGCTTGTGCACTACGAATGCCATGATGAAGCTCATTGCTGGTGCAGGCGGTGAAGCGCCCAAGATATCCATGATGACTAAAATCGGTCGAACAGCAGGGACCGTCCTGCTCTGGCTCCCAATTCCTTTCAGTAGCCGTATCGTGCGCGCCATAGCTGATAAGCCTGACAAGATCGCTCCTTCTGAGGGCCCTAAAAAGAATCTCGTGCTTAAACGACGCCTCCAAGTTGTCGACGATTTGGCACTCCCGCTGGAGCTTGATGATATACCTCCCCCTCATAAGCCGGAGGGCATGATGGACAAGATGAATGAATATGGTGTGAGATTCGACAAGTATAGAAATAACAAGAAGGAAAAGAAAAACGAGACCCGACGCAGGGAGCTGGCTCGCTTAGAAGCTGGGGGCTCTGATTTGAGCCGGTGGGAAAGGCTGCAACGTATGAGGATGGAGCATAATAAGAGACGAGGCGGTCTGATAAGCGCGATCCTCGGGCCGAATGAGTCCAGGCTAGAGAGGCGAGTAGCGAATGCTGACCTTCTCGAGCACTGGGGTACTGAGAAGGTTGTTTGGATCGTCATAATGAACGAAGAGAAAGGTGAAGCTATATTTCTTTACTCCCAAATCCTGGTTTTATCTCATGTTCCCCAGATCGAGAAATCGAAGGAATTGAAATTGCGGATAGTCTTGAAGATGAGGAACGCATCGACGACAATACGTGGAATGAGGTCATGGAGTTGGAGCGCGATGAATTAGACGAGGAGTTGTTAATGGAAGCAGATCAAAAGAAGTAGAAATACCGTGACAGTACGAAACGAAGACGGACTTATGGACATTACTAGTTAGATTCGTCAATTAAACGAAGTATATTGAAACGAACACACCCAGAATCATATGTTGACCATGAGCGTTTTTTACAGATATGGATTTCTGTATTGCTACCAATCCCTTTGGACAATAAAGATTTTGATGCGAGGGACCAGTTGTCACGTGGCGGCGGACATACCATTTAGGCGAATTATCTCTCCATCGTCCCAGATGACTTTCTTGAAGACGAAAGCCATTGCAAGCAACGGCGAATACAGTATCATTAAAGAAGTACCTACCTTTGCATCAAATATATATCTCTAAGAGGGCTTAAAGTTCTATAAATGGTAACTCTCGCACCTGGCCCGAAACTTCCAGATTTCAAAAGCACGGGTCCTTAGGGCAAAAGCATCGAAAATATATTATATCCAAAGGCTCCAGAGGATCAGAACATTCAAAAACATGCCCCCTGCAAGGTTCGAACTTGCGACCTCTAGCTTAAGTTGGGGAGTGGAGTCGCGCGAGCATTGGCGAGCTCTGGAGCAAAAGCGACGGCGACACAGCGAGCTGGGCAACCCTGCGAGGAAAACATTACACTGCTCCTGGCCAGAGTCGAACTGGCGGTCCCCAGATTATGAGACTGGTGCTCTAACCAACTGAGCCACAGAAGCTACATGCACAGACTCTGTGCACCTACCACATTGCATGCACAGACTCTGTGCAGATTACTACCTAGATACAGCATGCGACCATCCATTATACCCCAACTCTTCCCGTTGAGCCCACGCGTTTCCTCCCTTGTCAGAATGCAATACTAGCGACCCACGCAGCCCAGCAAAATGCAGATTAAAATGTGTGATCCGACCAGATGGGAATATGAGAATATCCCAAGGCTTGAGACGCCACACAAACCCAGCTTCATACAAGCACAGCTCGCCTCCGGTCCACTCACCAAACGGAATAACCACACAGGCCAACTTGTCAAACCCATCTCTATGTCCATCCGTTGCGACACCTACATTGACCACAAACCCCGAAAAAGGATACGCAGGACTCTGATCATTGAGCGGAAGGTGGTCAACAAATACCGTAAGATCCTTGTATATGTCCTGCAGCAATACACGGATCTACGACAACTATCAGACCACCATCAATGCATCAAATGAAATACTTGCATGGTCATTCACAAATGACATGACATCCCGGAAGAGATTCGCCAGGAGATCAGCCTCCCCAATATCCTGTAGAAAGTCTTTCGAGTGTCCAGGTGCACGTTGCTGTACATGAACCGTTGTCCAACCTTCCTTGAGGGTAAAGTAAGGGCTCGCATCCTCTGGTGCATCATAACCCTGCACATCCAATCAGCTCAATCCTGTCGAAAACACACAACACGTACCCTTTCTGCATACCGATTATAATAGGATCCATGCCAGCAGAAATATCTATAGTCAGGGCGATCAGAACGGTCGTGGACAAATTCTCCAGGCCAGGTAGTTGGCAGCTGAGGTACAATACTGTGCTGCACATGGGGAATACACTCCGCCATGTTTGGGATCATAACAGCCACAAGCTGCGAATCAGCGTCTTTGATAAACAGTGTTTGCCTAGTTTGTATTCAGCATCATCAACAGGACAATCTAGAGAGAACGTACCCTTCACATATGTCTGTATCAATCAGAATATACAAATCAGCATCCTTCTTCTCGCCGTTTGAATTGTAGAATCCGTTCAGCTTCTCCTCCAATTCAGAGAGACTCGAGACAGGAACTGCATTCAGTGCAGTCTCTCTTTCAGCAGCAGTCCATTCCGGGGCTTCCTCAGTGTTGAATGGACAACGGTCGGTGGGAACACGGAAGCCAGTCTTGATCGTATGTACAGGCGCCATCTTATAGCCATGAACAGGATCAGGCATCGGAGCAGGCGTAAGACATGCCCAAATCTCTGACCGCGGTGGGAGGTAGAAAAAGCTTTGTTCTATCAGAGTACGCTGTAAATCCACAAAAATAACACTTACTTGACCTCTGCTTTATCCAGCATATCACGAACCGGCCAACGTTAGGTCATCGTCAGAGTTGGCGCGGTCTACAAGAGAGCATTCTGTATTCAAGGTTAGAATAATCCCATAATTGAACTGTTTACACACCAAGCCCCTTCACCAAGACCCTGTAGTCACTAGCATCACCCCCTTCCTTTTCCACCTCTTGTACGACGAACGAAAGCGTTGGCAGTAACCGATGGACCACATCCTCAGGTAAAGATACCGCGACGGACATGATATGTAGGGGCATACACGTCGTTAGAAGAAAACGTCGCGCGTCGCGTCAAAGAGGGACGCGTTCAGTTCTGACTCTGCAAACTCATCACGGGCTGTGACGCGTGACGTTGCCTACTCCCCAGGACAACTTCATCATTTTCATTACCGTGAGACGTCCTTGGCTCGCAACTGAGGATATCACAGTATAGTCTGTGACACGTTTAGCGGTGGCACAGAACCCCGACGTCCTAACCCTTGTCCAGTTATCTACCTATCTATCTGAGCGTCCTCGATAAGCGTGCACAGACTCTGTGCATGTAATACGATAGCATAAGCGTGCACAAAGCATGGAGAACGTTTGACGCGTCCTCGCGTTTGGTAACGTGACCTGCCAATCTTACCTCTTACCATCATGGACGAAGCCTCCGAGCAGCTTGAAGCCGCCCTCGTAACCGTTAGATCCCACCTTGTTCAAGTCCTTGCACCTACCGACAGCCCGGGCACTCGCAGACAGAAGAAACAGCTAGCCGACCTGACGAGGAAGAAATTGTACGAGCTAGTCCAAATGCTAGAAGAAGATGACGGGGAGGAAGACGAGGAAGAAGAAGAAGAGCCAGGTATGCTCCCTTTTTCCTTACAATGCCGTCTGACCATCATCTAAAGAACACATACAGCGATACAATAGTCTCATAGAAGAGTTTGACGCCAACGCAAAGTGGAACCGATTGTTGACTGCACGCTTGTTTCATTTGTGCATGACCAGGCCCGTCGAAACCGGTGCATCTGCAGAGCACAAAGGTCTGCTCCGATTGTTGTTCAGCTATGCGGACAAACCAGGCCATTGGGTAGCACCATCATCTCATTCTCTGGATCGCCTTGCTGACTGTACCCCAGGCGAGGGCTCTTCAGACTCCCCTCCAATCCTTGCAAGACTGGGACGAGTGGTGCCACGATTCTCAGGCGAACGATACTCAGCAAGATTTCCATGAACAGTTGGTCTTTTTGCCAAAGGTATTTGGCTCTCCCTCCGAAACGGTGATGATGTGAAATTATACCTAGATGATATGTGCATTTAACGCCGAATCCGACGCTCAGTCTTTTGTCAAATATGTACTACGCGTGATCGAGACGCTCAAGTTCATCCAGAGATGGAACCAACGAGAACGGGACGATGGTCAGCGTGCCAGAAAGTGGAAGATAAAATTCATTGAAAAGGCATTCCTGCTCAGTAATTCCGAAAACCATGACCTCAAACTGAGATCATAGCTTGATATTATGAGACTGGCGCTCTAACCAACTGAGCCAAGGAGGCATAGGTATTTAGTAAATACATATATATATATTCATCTAATACACTACCGGCATCAGCTGCCGATTCAACCGGTCTGGTCGGCAGTCTAGGTAACTTTCTCTTAGCCTTACCTTCCCTGATCCTTCATCTACCTTACGCCTCCCCCAGTGCTTCCTTTATTATTTGTCAGCTATGGACTTTTGGACGCGTACGTAGTCGACCCCAAATTTTTGGGAGGAGGACCTTTCTTTCCCATACATAATTGCGTCCCAGTCCCGGTCGTGCTCATGTTCCGGGTTCCCCGACCAATGACTGGAGACGCGATTAAAGAATACATGGAAGTATATGTCCAGACCGCATTGAACGCAATGGAAGTTGGACTGATGGTGTTGAACATGGGGCAATGACAAACTAGCGAGCTGATGTATACGGCAGCATTATTGGAAATCGCGCAAGATTTCCCTTTGAGATCGTTGATGCAGCCATTGGTGCGGAACGGACGGGATGCCTTATCAGTCCTTGCCATTCTATTCAAGATATAGGTACGCGCAGTCAACGGTTATAACACAGAACTGACCTACGCTATCTGAGGTATGAAGACATCAAACCAACTTCGCGTATCCTGTTTCCGCGCGGGTCTCTGAGATCAAAGTACCATCCAAACATTGATTACATTCATGTCATTGAACCTCGTGTAAATGGTACGGGATTCGACCGAAACGAGGGGAGTTCACTTTTGCAGATGGAGAATGATTTCATACCGGTCATCTGGGCCCCAAAGCCTCTCATCTCGGCTGGCGGGCATGAGCGCGTCACCGCCGTTACAGTCACCGATGAGATAATTGCTTTCGGAAGACATTTCTTGGCTAACGTGGGTGATCTTTTTCTGACCTCATGTCTAAAACCCCGATAACATATACTGATGGGAGTTTTCAGCCTGACCTGGTACATACGTCTGAACGCACACGAATAGATCGATTTTCTATGTACCAGGGAACGTTGGCAAGGGATACATGGACTATCTTTCTTTGCCGGGGACGTGTAACATCCAAAGTCCCCGCTGTAGAGAACCGGGATGTCATGTTCTTCCGGTCAGTCGCGAAGCTGTCAGCCCGAACTATGCCATGTATCAGTGTTCAACTATCTTCTTACGGTCATAACAACATGATGAGTTCAAAGTATAAGAATTTTAGAGGAATAACTTTGGACTGTAGAACTCAAATTGCTCGTCTCGCGATCGTCATATACATCAACTTGGCACCGTTGATCAACATTTTCGTACAAAAAAATCATTACCCGGTCTTGGCCCCCGAATGAATCTAGTAATGGCTCATTTGGCTGAGCATGAATTTGATATTGCGGCTCCATACCATGGGATACGTACAGTGCACTCTGTTTCTCCTGCGCGACCTCAAGCCTGGGCGTATTGAAAATTGGAACATTTTTCCTAACAGGCGCATTCTCCCCGGCGGAGAATGGCTAGGTGGGGAAAAGTTGAGTCTTCGACGCAGCTTTAGATGGCAACTGTGGTGTACATCTGACTCGAAGAGATGAAAAGCGGCGGCACGAAGTAGCCTGGCAAGCCGCTTTATAGATACTCGCAGAACTCGTACCTGTGTATAAAGCCTGGTACCCAGGGCGGGGGGGTATACCGGTAGGGTCGAAAAGTTTTTGTGGGGCACAAAGGCTTCTGTATTTCGCCAGAAATTGAAGCTATATGTATTTTAAGATATATGAGGTACATACAAAAGTGCCGATCCCTGAAGAAGGTGAGCAAACGGCGAACGCGCTCGTTTCTAGCGTAAAATGGCGGAGCGACGAGATTTCCTCCCTATGAAATTTCAAGCGGAGTCTCAAAAGGTCCAACTTTTGGACCTTACCAGTATACCCCCGCCCTGGGTTCCAGGCTAGGCACGAAGGTATGGGTGTACTGCGTCACGTTTGGCATAGCGGGCCGTTCATGTGTGGGAGTGATTCAGATTAGATTCATTATGGCTTGCTACTGACCATTCTGTTATCCTACAGTTATGACGCCTCCAGCTGAGCTGAGTGTGCGTATCCTCACCAACACCTGGGCCAGTCTAACTTCAACTGAGGAGCACATCAAATTTTTTATAACTTGCTCTCTGGTCAGTGGTATCCAAACATTGGGCTGCCATCATCAAGGACTCCACGCACTCGTTGATCCCTTTCTCGTACAATGGAGGACAGCTATACACCCTCAAATCACTGTCCTCAATCTCGAATCCTATGCTTTGTCGCACTCTAACGTTCAGGGTGAACTATGTGATCATGCCGCAGCGCCTTGTGGTTACCGGATGTGAACCTTCTGTTACGGTCAACAGGGGGATAGAGTCTGTCCTACGAAAGCTAATCCGTGGCCCTAATACGCTTCGCCACGGCATTCATATCTATCTCGACTATCTCGACGATTCCCGGGTGCATGTCTCCAGCTTCTGGATTCCCCCACAAATCACACAGCTAACAATCCATTACCACTATCGTTCTTGGATGGTTGACTGGTTAGGACAACAGCGTTACCGTCGCTGCGAATGTGAGAAAACCAACGTCGACCGCCAAGTCGACCGTCTCTCCATCTTGGCAGCTACACCTGACCTAACGAAAGGACTAATTACCCCTCTCAGTGAATGGAAATGTCTGTCTTTGTTGATTATCGATTCATATGTCCAGGACATTAGTATTCCAGTCTCCTCTGGGATCTCTGTCATTCGGAGAAGTGATTAATTCCGATATGAAACTGTGGAACCCGACTTGTCATATCGTGTCATGTTTGGCGATCACCGAAACCAAGCGTTTTGGCTTCACACACCCTTTGGTATGTTGTCATACATCCACGTATTTGGGTACTAATTGCATTATCTGTTTAGCGTTTCTTGACGACCTTGACATTCCAATGCTTGAACAAGCTATTCCTGTCGGGTCTGTGGGTTACATCCACCCGATGACCAGGAAATTTATTATGTTGTTCAATGCCATCGATCCAGGATCATCGCCCGATGCACGGCTTGAGTCAATCCCTTCTCTTCTTGACGGTGGTGTGACAACGATGGTCACTGACCCAAATCGTTCCCAGGGCGTAGCGTGGGAGCACGATTACGATGCAAAATCTTTGCTCGCAGACTGGATTCAAGGGGGCTCGTTCGTACCTCCTTAGATTGGAAACCATTTTGGCTACTAACCGACCTGGTAGACTGTATACTGTTGGATATGACCACCCAGAATTACTATTTCTTACGCTTGGGCGAGCCTGCAGCAAGGAACTCGTAGGAACTCATTTTGAGGCATGGTTACTGGACCATAAACAGAAGATCCTGGATATTTTCGGGGACGAGCACCCATATATTCGAAATCGCTTGGAGCTTGGTGTGGTAGTCTCCTTGCTATAAGCTATGGTTTTAACTCGCTAACATGTTTGAAGTGACAACCGCAGTAGATTCTTCTCAGTATGGCCGGTTTGCGCATCTAGGCTCTAGATCCCTGCGACTTTCCTGGCGATGGACACAGAAAGTAAGTGTGCCATTGACACTCTATGGTGAACGTGCATTGCCTCTTATAATCTTTCACAGTTTTATTTTCAGGTAGCTTCTCCACACGTCCCTGGAAACCCCTGGGGAGAGTTCGAACTACCGAAATACCATGACCCCCACGATCTAATCTCTTGGAGCCACGTCTCCACTGTGGGTCAGCCTCCGATGACAGTGCATATTCGGTGCCAGTCTCTTACTTAGTCCCACGCCGATTCTACTCTGTTTTGGCGGCAAATATGACTCGCTTACAAAGATCGGATCTATAGAGATTGGTCGAGGTGATTTTAATAAACTATATTTACCGGTTTCTTCTTACTGTGTTCTTTTCTTGCTTCCTGTGCCCTTTTCTTCCCTGCTGTGCGACTTGTAAGTCCGTCTGTGTGTTTCCGTCTTCCCATCGCGACGACGTCTCTCTTCCCCTCCCACTTGCCCTCTATTTTGGTGAACTCGTCTTGAGTCGCGAATTGATGGCCATATCGGCATCAACAACTTTGATCGAAGTACATGGGCTTCTTATTGCAAGCTTTCTCCTTACCTTCGTTCACTTTCGTGCTTATTGCATTGATATCAGAACCTTATTGACGGAACCGCAGCATGGGTTCTTGGTTGGTGCATCTTGGCTGAATCACTCTTCCTACTAAACAGTGCGCTTTGGCCCGTGACTCAAGCCTTGAAATCTCATAGTCACGCCTGGCAGCAATTTACCGCATTTTGATCATTACCTCTACATCCCCACACTCAATGATGGGTTAAGTTGCGTAGTTTTCGAGAAGTAGAGCGCGCGCGTCTTTTTCCAGATGGGTTTCATTACGACTCAATTCAGTTGTCTTGAAGGCCAAGTCCTTCGGGATACATACTCATGCAGTGGGCCGCGCGGAATTACCACCACCCTTCAACCCAATACGAAGGAATACTGACAAAGGGCTTACTAGTACGTGTTTTCTTCATTATTGCTTTCTTTTCAGTGTTCACCGGCTAGTTCTGTCACAACTCAAGGTTCGATTAACTTTTCTTATCTGTCGGTCGGATCGTTGTGGAATCTAGATCGCGTCGACACGACAGGCGGCCTCCCACCTATCTACAGTTCCGTCTGGACATTGTATGTAGGTAGGCCGTTTGCACGTGGATATCCATTCGTAGCCGGGTCCAGGAAGGCTGAAGATGATATGTCCGGTAAGTAGATCCTCGGCTCGATGCCCTGGTTATTTTTATACAAACGAAAGCAAGCTGACATGGGATTACATCTCACCGCCGTTACAGTCGCCGATGAGAAGAATGATGTTTTCACTTTCGGAAGACGTTTCCTTCCTAACTTTCTCATGTCTAAAATCTTAATACTGATGGGAGGCTTCAGCCTGATCTGGTATACCCGGCTACCCGACTTTTTTTTACTAGGGAACGCTGCCAGGGATACGGGGAGTACCCTTTTACCGGGGAGGTGCGTATGCGCTGTGTGTAAAGTCTCCACGGTGA